CTTTTCACATACCTGAGAAGTTTGCGTGTCATGCGCCATGATTTGTGACGTCACGAAGGTTCAAATGCTCTTAATATATGGCTAAATTCCTAAATTCCAACTACACCCAGAAAAATGGTATATTTGTCTCACAGCTTAATAAATATTTATTTGATTCAAATAAATTTTTATTTAATTTAAATAAAAAAATTTATTTACACCAAATAATTGTAGGCTGTGAGACTAATATATACGTTTATTTAACTCAAATATTATACACGGAGAAAAATGAGTTTGCTATTATATGGATAACTAATTTTTAGATACAGTAGCTAATATTTAGCTGTTACAGCAAACTATTTTAGCTACAGTAGCTACTTTTTAGCTGTATTAGCTAACGAAAATTGCTGTCCATATAATAGCAAATAGGGTTATGGCTAACTTTTCTTCTCCGTGTACTGTAAAACGAAAGGTATTAATTTAATACCGACTTTAGGTACTAAATTGCCTTTTGGTTCTATTTTAATACCTAAAATCAGTACTATTTTAATACCTTCTTTTTACAGTGTATACTAAGAATATTTTAATTTAAAGAATTTCCATCTTTCGATCCCCCACTCCTAGAGAAAAAATTCATCATTCCTACACACTCGCAGGATTTTTCTCACTATATACTTTTGATCCCTTTCTAATAATGCACCCTAGGATTTATGTTGCTCGATTGTGGACTAGTAATGCAATGATTAATCAATGTTCGGATCAATCGAACACTATATATATATATATGTATGTGTATATGCGGCAGAGGCTTTTATTATTGAAAGGGACTCTCTTGGAAAAAGGAATTATATAGAAATAAGATTAGAAGCAAGAGGCATTTTAATCTATGTATAAAACTGTGGAGACTTCAAGAGTATAAAAAAAATAAATACTATATAGACAAGCGATGGGAACAGTTACTGATATCGTGAGGACCCAAGTAGAAATGTGCCACTGGCATAGTACTGACCCAACACTGCCAGTCAGTATAATAGTACTGACTGCCGTACTGGGCCAGTAGTGGACCAACCCTGGCTGGTAACGCTGTCCAGTACTGATTTTATCCCGCTCACCAGTACTAACGTAGTACTAGAATAATACTGGCATAATACTGGCAAAGTACTCATCCGGACTTAAAATCTCACTTTTTTACAAAATGCTAAAACACGCTTTCCAATGCAAATTTCATCCTTATTAGCTTATTACTCCCATTTTTACCACGAACAGGTAATGTGAAGCCAATAATAGTTAATGTTATTTAGAATATATAAAATATTATTCACAATAAATAATTAAAATAATAATTATCATTTATATTAATTAAATTATTTTATTTTTAATAATTATTTTACAAAAAATAATTTGTGTTGTAAATTTTTTTATTTTTTTAAATTCATAATATTTAATTTTTTTTACTTTGCACTTATACTTAATTTAATAATTATTTAATAATTGATATTACACATGAACAAATATTGTACTTATAACACTTAAAACTAAGAACGAAAAATCTCGCACGCATGGGGGATCGAACCCTAAACCCTTAGAACGCAAGTCAGATACGCATACCGCACAGCCGCGCTGGCTTGAAGTGCTGACTTGAAGTAGTTCACCTAATACAAAAGTTTTGATTTCAAAGTTTGTATTATCTATTGATCACGAAAATAAAATGAATTTATTCTTAAATTTTTTAAACTCACAAAATTTTTTCAATTTTTACAAAGATTTAATGAAATAAAACTGGATATCAATTTCAGTTAAATATTTTTAATAAATTATTTTTACCGTAAATAATATTAAAACAGACAAAAATGATTGATGAATTACATAATTAAAAATAAGTTAATAAAAGACGACTGTAAAATATGAATGGTGAAAAATTTTTTATATTTAATATTTAATTATTAATAATATTTAAAAATTACAGTGAAAAAATTACATTTGCTTTATTTTTAAAACTATTAGGAAAAAATTCTCAACTTATTGTTATTGTATGCATGATAAATAACTTAATGCACATATTTCAATGAGTACTAAAATAACTAAAAAAACGTAAATATATTCTATATAGGTATATAATAATACATTACAATTACATCCAAAATTTTGAGGGAAAGTATTCGAAAGAAATTAATATACATTTTTTTAAATAAAAAATCATCGTTTTCTACCTATTGGAATAATTTAAAGACTTTTTCATTTAATGTTTTTTATCACCGACATAGTACTGATTCGGTGTGAATGACAGTGTACTGCCAGTACTGGTTTTAATATTTTTTTACCTCCGACATAGTACTGATTCGGTGTATTAGTCAGTACACTGCCAGTACTGAAAGTCAATACCGACAGCCAGTATTGGATCAGTACCATGCCGGTGTTTAATTACGGCGAGCTACGGATATTTCTACTTGGGGATCGTTACAGATAATAATCTTTGAGTTCGCGATATGTCTACTGATGAATTAACTAATTACATCGCGATCAATGATTACCAAGGCGCTTGATTTTTCACTCGATGATCTTGCAACCTGCACATATATATATATATATATATATAAATAATTTGTATATAACTTATGGCGAATGGTATATATATATAAACGTTGGAAATATTGTCGAACCGTGACGCTTGACGCTATTCGTGTCTCGATCAAAGACAAAAGAAATCAATCGTTTATTTCGTGTCTATATCTATATATAGAGAAATATACAATATTACGAAATGGAACATATTTTCTATAAGCGCTCGAATTTCGAAAAAGAAAAAAAAATTCGCGATTAAATTGAAATAAAAAGTGACATGATTTATGCATGATTTGAGAGTATAGTTTGTTCCTATAAATATTACGAGAAATTCATCTCTCTTTTTCACAAATTTTTTTTTTTTCACTATTATATATAGGTATACCAACTTTTTACTATTTTATATATGTATGTAGTTTTAATAAAAATGTATGAATCTTTTTCGAGATTTTTTTGGAATTTTTAAAATATAGGGATTTAATTTTTAAATTATAAAGAAAGCAAAAATTTGCATCTTTAAAAATTAACATAAAAAATACACGATACTAAAGTATAATAAAAACTACAAGAAATATTTTCCAGACAAAAAATTATTTCTTTAAAAATTGTTTATACATAAACGTTGCATACTTTAGCATTGTAAAAATATAAAAAATTCAAGAAAATGAGACTTTTTGAATATTAAATTCAATTAATTTGAAATATATCTAATTCTAAATCGAAATATGTATTGCAAAATTAACATAAATACTCAAGTAGAAATAATTCTAAATAATTTACAAATAACAAATTTTACAATTATTTTTCCATATATGTATACAATGCTAATTATTAGTTTAATAAAAATTGTGGAAAAAATATATCTTCAAACAAGAATGGAATGTAATATTTTTTTAAAATGCCAATAATATACAATCAGAATTTAAAGTTTAATATAATAAATTCAATAATAAATTTCATCTTTATAGAATATTATATATTATTTATTATAATTAAATTGCGCAAATCTCAAATAAAAACGGAAGCAGATTGTAAGAGAAAAATTTTTATCGATGACTGAATAAAAAAAAAAAAAAAAATTTTTTAAGAAAACAATAAATTTTAAACAAATGTAAATTATAAAAAAAAATATATAAAATATTTCAATTAATTCCTTCAGTTTACACGCAAAAATACACTTTATTTCTTGTAATAAATTTTTAATTGAGTTTAGTTAAAGACTATCAAAATAAAAACAATATACAATATAATGTATAATTTGCGGCCAATATATAGTTCCGCATACTCAATAGAGAGAAAATATTTCTCATATATAGAGAACATTCATTGAATTGTTGACCTTCTTTCTCAGATAGTACTGTATAAATATAGTTGATAATTACAAATTAAATGCGTAAATTTATGGATTTAAATATTACTAATATAAAGTAAACAAATAAATGTTTTTCACAAATAAACGTGAAAATAATTAATTAAAGTAGAACAAAATATATGAAGAATATTATAAAACAAAACTAAATTTATACCAATGATATTGCTAAAGTCCAAAACAATTATAATCAACGATTATAGAAAACAAATTATTATTTAAAACGGAAAATTATAAAAATATTTATGTAAAATTAAATGTACAAGTTATTTTAATCAATAAACATTGTACGAAATATATTTGAGCTAAAAAATCAAAGAATTTTCATATACCAAAAAACATTTCTTTAAAAATCGTTGATCATAAACTGGTGAACTTCATTGTTTAATGATAGTAAATAAAAACGACAATAGAATCAAATGTAACAAAATAAACTATTAAAACTATCAAATAATTAAAAATTATTGTAAAAGTGAAAAAAAAATTGAAATCACAATTAAAACAAATTTATTTGATTCAAATAATCCGTTACTTTATATACTGTCAACAAATAAATGGCTACTCACTAAATCTGAATTACTAAAAATTTTTTTCTAATTTAAATTAGTTTTTTGCTTAAGAATTAGTTAAATTTTACTAATTGTTAGTAAAAGTTACTAATGATTAGTAAAATTTTACTAATTGAATTAATTCAAGAAAAGAAACATATGTATTTTGATAATAATTTACTTATTCGTCATTATTTATTTTGCTAATATAATTAAACATCCGATTATTAAAATCAAATAACATCTATTTCAATGTATAATAAAAAAAAAACTACAAAGCTGAAGTACGCAACAAGTTTATGATAACCGATTTTTAAAGAAATAATTTTTTAAAATGAAAACTTCTATAATTTTTTGCCCAAAAAATATTCTCTTATAATTTGTTGATTAATGAAAACTACAAGAAAAATAGTTTTAAAAAAATTATTTCTTTAAAAATCGTTTATCATAAACGTTGCGTACTTCAGCTTTGTAAAAAAACTGATATTTTTTTTACAAATAAAACTAAAAATAATTATAGTTATTAAAAAATTATAACATACCTTTTATTTCCTGCTTAATTCGCAATTATTTCAAAAATCCCAATTTTCAAAAAAAAAATCGTGAAATCCTCACAAGAAATATTTGATATTCACTAATTGTAAAATCACCATTATTTTATAAACACAAATTCCAAATATTATCCATCAGTCACTTTTGAAAAAAATTCAATTATCACTTATTAATTCAAAATTAACAAAAAAAAAAAAAACACAATCCTCCAAAGATTTTTGATCTAAAGGCACATAAATTTTTCAAAAAAGAAAATTCAATCACAGTCCTTATTCATAATCATTTGTTTTGTATCACTATTATTATCAATTATTCTAATTGAAATCTTCCAATTACAATCAGAAATTTTTTCACTAAATGTCAATATTGTTTAACACAATAAGTTTTCAATAAAAAAAAATAAATGAAAATAAACTTCACAATAAAAAAAAAAAATTAATGCCCTTGAAAAAGAAACTGATAACCGCAAGAATCTCCTGCTTGTATAGTAGCGCACGGATTAAAAAAAAAAAAAAAGAAACGAAAGGTGTCAATGCGACGATGACCGTTAGGTGAATGATCTTTTGGGAAGTGAGGGTGTCTTGATTGTTAAATCACTCCCCACCTGCGTGGTACCCTAATGATTTTGGTCTCTGTCAAGTCAGTGCCAGACGTACCAGCGAATGGCACGCTCTCTCTCTCTCTCTCTCTCTCTCTTTCTCTCTCACTAATACAGTGTGGGCCTTTTTTTTTATCTTTTTTTTTTTGCGCGCGCAACCGATCTCTTTCTCTTCTAATAACTCTATACACGTTAGGGGCCTTATAGATACTGTTTGTTGAATCGCAATGCAAGGTCCCAGTCAACACACACTGTGTATACATACAGGTGGGCCGAGGGTCCTGTGGGTCCTTTATCATTGGTGGGGGGGAAAATTCTCGATGAATGTGGGACTTACCAACGTGGGCCTATTTCAAGAAGTGGGGGGAATGAGAGGTGGAGCCTATTTTGCGCCCCTCTTTATTTGCCCCTTCCTTTTTTCACCTTCATTTATTCCCTACCACATGCGGGGCCCATCCACAGGTCTATGACTTATCGAAAATCATCACGCGCAACTCTTTTATATTTATGTTTTCTATATGCCTCGAATTTTGTATATAAAATAAACGAAGAATATATCATTTGAAACATCATTTTCTCTTATTTTTTTATTTATTTTCGTGTAACTTTTTCTGTGTATTATTTCAATATATGTTTTAAAACAATATTTTATAATGGATATTAATAATTACCTTCATATAATTATTTTCAAGATTTTTTAAAAAAATTTTAATATTTATTTTTTTATTTAATAATTATTTGAATAAATTAAATGGTATTTTAATTTACTTATATATATATATATAGTAATTTTTAATAATAATATAAAGATTCCCCTCTCTAACTTTAATAATTTATTCTTAAAATTTTAGTTACATAGGTTCTAAAGAGTCAAATTATTTAACGAAATTTTAAAATAATGTAAATTGTAATAAAAAATTATTATTAGAAATTTTAAACATAGAAAATAATTGTGACGCGATCTGAAGAAAGGGACCTTAGAAGCAAAACATTATAGGTTACGTTTTGAAATTTTAAAGTGAAAATAGACAAAGACGTTCAACTATAGTAATGCAAAACTAATAGTAGGTCTTCATTACATCCAAAATATTCAATAAAAACTGATTTCAGTTTTACAAAAATAAACTTTTAATTCAAGTACAACTGTCGTAAACATATAACATATAATTCATTTCCTTCTAACAAGGAGACCTCACTATTGGTCACAGGCTTTGGGAAATAATATATATATTTTTTCATATAGAGGAGCCTTAATGTAACACAGTTATGCTGTTTTTAGCGGCCAACAGAAGGACTTTTATTTAAGAAAGGAAATTATTTTTCGTTTTTGGGCATATATAATTAAAATTTTCATTTTATAAGGGCTTCATTATATTAAGGCTTTTTTAAATTTTCTTTTTCTTAAGAAAAAATTTCCGTGTTACAAGAAACATTTTAAATATCCATATTATATCATGATGTTTAACAATTTCATGGAAACAAAAATGAAATTGACAATGCGCGCAGCAAAGAAAACAATAGCACAGGTCTACAAGTTTTTTTTTACCTAGCAGAGTGGTTTATTCCAATGTATTTTTGTGTCTTGAACACGTATCAGGGTTCCAAAATTGCGTATCACGTCAGAATTTTGAGTAAAGTAAGGGTAAATACCCAAAAAAATGTGTTTTTGAGAGTTTTCAGTATTTTATCTCTCTTTAACCCGACGTGCAAGACACTTATACATAGGCGCTTAAATTAAAGGTTCACTGAGAGAACAAAGTAGTTGAGGCAACTAATAAAATGGTTACGAATACCATTTTGGTTAGTAAACTATATTGCTGCTAATTCGATAATTAGGAATACCATTTATATAATAGTAAAAAGAAAAATAGTTGTCGTTACCATTTTATTAGTAAGAAGAACTTATTTCAGTTAGTACCAATAACTAATAAATATTGTAACAGATAACATTTAGTTAGTTAACCTTACTAATCAAATAGGTAATTCGATATAATAAAATTCAGCCGCACTAATTTATTTCATATTATTCACATTCTATAACTCAAGGACTATAAGGAGACCGAATGATCATGTTAATTCTGCGTTAAAAGTGGACCAAATTTTGGTAACCGCTTAATGTCAAGAAAATACGAAATGGAACACTAGCGCCACTGATTGTGTTAAACTCAGATGGACAGTCAGCCATTGTAAAAGTTTTAAAAATAAGGAGCAATGTATTTTTAGGTTATGTTCAACGTACTTCAAATTTTTTCCATTGTTTACATACTTCCCACTAGAGCGCTTGTGTTCCATTCCGTATTTTCATGACACTAAGAGGTTACCAAAATTTGGTCCACTTTTAATGTACGTCGTTCGGTCTCCTTATACTACTCCGCATGTTTCTTGCTGTATCAAGTAAGATACACAGAGAGGAAAGAATTGTTGTGGTTACTAAAAATTAAGTCCACACAACAATTTCAGATTGTCAATATAGAACCAGCAGTTCTATTTGTTTTTGGAACAAAAAAAATTGTTAAAATGGGATTGTTATTAAAACTATTCCAATTGTTCAGTGAACAAACAGAATTGTTTGATAAACATAGAAAATTGTTATGGAACAGTTGAAATAACAAAACTAAATTGTTAAATCGACAATACAATTTGTTGTATTAACAAAGCTTTGATCCGTCTAATACAATTTGTTCAGTTTCTTCGTCTTCTAAAATAATCGATAGCAGATTTCCTTAGGTCATATCACCAGTTTCATTTGCATTAAAATCTGTGGAACATGCAGCTTCTGAATCAAATTCTTTGGCCTGAAACCAAAAAATTATTTTGAGTTGAAATTTATTGTTAAATAACAGAGAGTTTGCTTCTGCAACTGTACGGAATTGCAAACTGAACAAAACTGACAACAAAAAATTTGTATTATTGTTAAAACAACATATACATATTTTGTATTCACAGTTTTCTGAGGATCTCAAATTGAGACCATAAAGTGTATCAAATTGTTGATAATGCAACGTTTTGATGCTGTTTATGGTCTCAATTTAAGAGCCTCAGAAAACTGTGTTGACAACAATCCGAATTGTAGTATTAACATTTCGAATTGTAATTATCAATAAATCTACTGACAACAATCCCATTTTTCTCCGTGTATAAATCTTATATTAAACATATTTTTTGTATGATGTTAATAATAATAAATAAATTTTATAGGTTAGGTTTATTGGTTAAATTGTGACTTACATTCAAATAAACGATCTACATAAAATTCAACCCCTTTAAGATTAATAACTCCCGCAAATGCACGGCACTTTTTTAAAACTCAATAAAAGAATTTATAATTTATAATTATAGAAACTATATATAAAAAATGTATAAGAACATAAACACAAATTACCACGTTTTCTCACGACATTGCTTCACGAGCATGTGCTTCATAGTGTTGCCAACCGAATTGCTAACAACTGCCAACCGCGTTTACTAAAAAAAATAGTAAACCCAACTACTCTGTTATTTAAACTTTTGCATGTTACTATTTTTGTAGGTGTGGTTATTATTTCCTGTTTAACAATTCTAAATAGTTACACTTGACATCGAAAATATTAAAATTCACTAAAAACATTACTGAATTTTACTAACTAAATAGGCAGGAGAATAAATACCTCCTTTACTAATAAAAAAAATAGTAGCCCCAACCATTCATTATTCTCTCAGTGTTAAGATGTACACTTTCAGTCCCATATGCGCAAGATAAAAAAAAGTTTGAAATTTTGAAAAAATGGGTATAATGACCCTAATAAATGTTTTGGCTGTCTTGAACCTAACTTTTTTTCAAAATTAAAAGTTTTTTTTATCTTGAGCATATGGGTCTTAAAGTGTATATATCTTAACCTTTAATTTAAGCCTATTAGAAAAAAATTGCAACTTTCTAGGAACCTTTTGGGTCGCAAAATAGAGTCCAACATTATAATGAAAAATGTTAATAAATAGCAACAATTATTTGTTTAAATAATTTATAATAATAGTTGTTGCAAATTTAATTATATATTTTATTTTATTTATAACCTTTAAATTAATAATTTAGACGAAAAGGTAACAAATTTGTAAAATTTTGCTACTGTCTATATGTATATTTGAAAAAGTTATAAATTATTAATAATAAATTGTTTAAACAAATAAAAAAAAATTAACAAAACATTAATAAAATATATTATTTTTGGTAACGTATAACAATTTCAGAAAGAAACTGGATGATTCCAAGTTTTTATTGTAACCCTCATAACAAAAGGATATTCCTAGGATATCCATATCAATGGTCGATATCCTAGAATGGTAGAAACCACCGGTCTGTGGGACATCAACAGGACATCCATAGGATACCCACAGGATATCCCTAAGACATCCAAAAAATATCTATTGGATATTATATCGCAGGATATCCATGGGATATCCTCAGGATGTCCGTGGGATATTCTTAGGATATTCACGGGATATTTAATATCTCAACATATATTTTTAAAGGTTAAAATTGTTAAGCTAATAAAATGAATAATAATATAATAAAAACAAAAATCTTAGCTTCTAATTTATTTTAAATGAAGATTTGAAACGCATTTTTCAAAAGTTTTTAAATAAACTCATGCACTTAATGTATAATTAATATTAATAGTTATTCGTTATTTGAGGGGAAGAATTCATATTGTTTAAAGCCAATTTATATTCTGACAATATAAAGCATATGAATAAAGGAATGAATCACGAATGAGAAAAAAATTAGTTATTAATTTTTCAAATTAAACAACTTTTTCGAAAAACAAGTTTCATTTTATTTTATTTATATAAAATTTAATTCACAGAATATTCTTACTCGTAGTCTCATAATTGACTTTAAAAACAGTATCCTGAGAATATCTTCTTGACATCCAGAAGATATATACTGAGAATATCCTGAAAATATCTGTGGGATATCCTGACGATATCTATGGGATATCTGGAGGACATTTATGAAAGTCTATAGAGATATCCGGAAGATATCCTGTGGATATCCGAAGGATATCCAAACCGCGGATTTTTTGGATATCCTTAAAAGATCCTTTTGATATCCATAGGACATCCTTAGGATATCTGCAGGATATTATCAATATATTCCAAGATATCTTGTGTTATTAGGGAATATACAAAGAAGAATACACGGAAAAACTTTGTGCAAGAATCATTCCTAAATTTGTTGAGGAACTGAGGATATGAGAATAATT